TAAAAATTAAAGTTAAAAATAAAAAACAATAAAAAATAATTATTTATAAATTTAATCAACCATTATTTGTAATTAATTTTATTAATAAAAAATTGAGTCAACGAAAATTTTCATAATTATTTTTAATTTAGACGAAAATTTTAGAAAAAAAAACTACTCTAAATATTTATAATATGATTTAAAAATTTGACACTCATAAAGACATAATTAAAAATATGATATATAATATTAGTAGAAATCCTAAATAGAAAAATAAATAAAATAAAACTTTATTTTAGAAATGAACAGTTTTTTTTTTAGCATAAAAAAAATTATAAATATTATTTTTTAATAAATTTAATTAACATGGGAAATTTTGAATATATATTTTTTATTTATATATTTATTTGTTATATAAGAAAAATGACTACGTGAAAAAAAAAAAAAAAACTCGGCCCCTAGATAGGTGCACGCTAAGGTGGGATTATTAATGAATTGAAAATTAATTTATGAAGGGTCGAAGTTATAAAAGTAAAATAAATTGAGATGTGCAAATGAATTTTTTAACTTCCATTGTCTTTTTCGATTTTGAAATCTTCTTGTTCTAATTAAATTATTTAACTTCCACAACCAAGCTATCAGATATTCAAAGTTAGGTTTCATTTCCAAAATGGAAAAGACAACTAAAACTCTATTTACTGGGTATAGTCTATAGATGTATAATCATTTTAGTATTGTCACTTTAAATTTAGTAAAATATTTTTTTAATCATAGGACATTTCAAACGTAGTCTTACTACCCATTTACATTGTGTTACTATATTTGGATAAATATTTGTAAAATTGATTTTAAATGAATTTATTTTTATAAAATTATTTGATTTTGAAATCATATGATGTATATTTGAATGTTTTTATTCTACAAGTAAAATAGTAGTTAGACTTTTATTTAATGCAAAATCTACTTAAAATTATTTGAAAATCAGTTAAAATCACAAAATCAATTTCTTAACATCCAACAAAGCATATAAATATTTCCTAAAAAATCACATACTGTTATTTCATTGTAATTTTAAAACATTTTATTGTAAATTCAAACACCCGATTAGTCACAAGTGCATATGATCAGGCATAATTTAATAACAATAACGGCTTTTTTTTAACATATTTTTTATTAGTAAGAATTACATGATGACGAGAGCAAGATTTAATCTTAAGATTTGATGTATGTTATTTTAATTTTTACCACTAGGTCTATCCCAACATATAATAATATAACAAGTAATATTAACAATTAAAAAAAAGTAAATATTAATAATACACTTTTTAATTCAAATATTACTAAATATTAAAGTGCGTTGTTACAACATCTAACATATAAACAATATTCCAAGTATTCTTTACACAGGCTTCAAAGGTATTAAACTTTCAAACAATAGATGAGTTTCTTTATTAATGTTTTGTTCAGAATTTGGATGCAGAGAAAAAAAGTCGAAATTAATTTTGTTTAATTATTTAAATAAAGAAAATATTTTTATTTTTATTTTTAATTGAGAAAATACGAAATTTATAATTATGTTAAAGAAATTTATATTATTTAAATATCATAATAAATATTATTTAATAAATAAATGTATACTTTTAGTATTTTATTACTTTCCTTCTCACTCGAGCACGTGCACATCCACTTATATATCAAATTATTAATTACTCTCTAGTATCTAAAATATTTCTCAATTCACCAAAAAAAAAAAAATCTAAAATATTGTCACTTTAAGAAATAAAAAAATTATTTTTAGCAATAATTTTGTTAAAATAAAGAACGAATTGTCACCCTTCAAATGACAGTTTTAATTATCACAAATAAGTGTTTTTTTTTTTTATGTTTATGAAGTATACTTTCGATCATAATTATAAATAAAGGATAAAAAAGTAATTAAGTTGGTTTATTTTAATTAACCATATCAATATTTAGATTTTATTTTAAATATATCTTTTATTTTAAGCAGTTATTATATTTAATGTTAATTATGAATGCATGTATAGGAAATAAAATTAAAAATAAATTAAAGATATAAAAGAAATTTATCCATAAATAAATTTAAAAATTAATAATTTTTGTTTATAATTAAAACTAAATAAAAAATTACTTTACTACTTATAATTAGGATTAGAAGTAATATAAAAGGACAATGTTTTACTATCTTCATTCCTTTATAATAACTGTTCAGTTTCTCGTACATAAACTAAAAAACATAATAAAGTCTCCTATTTTTCATAGGATGATTATAATGTTTCCTATTACACCATCTTTCATTTTTGTTTCATAATAAATATTAGTTGTCATGTACTCCTTCTATTTTCTATTATAAGTAAAACAATAAATAATTTTATATATATTAAAAAATTAATTATTTTCATTAAATTTTACAAATCTTATAATTTTTTTTTGAAATTTTCGTCATTATAAATACTAAAAAAACATAGTGTAACTATAATGTCATACATTAAAGAAAAATATTTTAGAAAAAGTATCATTAAATGAGATAAAAGTAGTAAAAATTTACTTATATTTAAGAAAAATATGTTTTTTTTCTTTAATATAGAGAAATGAAGGAGTATAAATTAATTAAAAATTAGATCAAATGTAAAGATATAATTAACAAAAAATAATTAATATTATTTTAAAATTTGAAAATGACAAGTAAATAAAAATATTTTTTTACAAAAATAATTGACAAGTAAAAGAAATGAGGGAGTACAAAAGAAAGGAACAAAAGATACACATCAACTCACACTGTGATGATAGTTTTAAATGTTTTATTTGATGTTCTTAAATATTTTATCATGTCTTTATTGTCTTTTTTGACAAAATAAATAGACTCGACCTTCTTATGAATTTGTGACACATCAGGATGTATACCACTTTTCAAAAAAAATAATATTTTGTTCATTTGAAAAAGTGTTGTAACCAAAAAAGTTGTTTTTAGATTGATACACAAATGTTCCATTTCCTTTAACACAAAAGTTAATTAACAATCTTTTAAATCAGATAAGAAGTTAAAATTTAATAAACATATTCAATGCAAGCATATATGACACTGACAAACACTTTTCATACAAAAAAAAAAGAAGATAAAACAAGTCTTCAAGTGTACCTTGAATGATTTGTAATAGTCATTTTCAATTGCTACCTATGAATATGAAGCTTGATTAATAAAGAAGAAAGTTACTCGTTTTGAAATCTTAGCAAACATTTATTTTATAACTATTTTTATATAAAGAGTTTTCTAAAATTAAACAATTTTATCACTTCTCAAGAAAGACAATACTTATTAGTTTTATCATTTAAGTTTTAACTAGATGTTTTAACTAAAAGTCTGAAGAGACTTTGTTTGTAAAAACTAATTGGAGTGTTTTGGTGGATATGAATTCCATGAAATTACTTTTTTGATTGAAATATTAACCACTAAAAAAAAGCATAGTATATATTAAGTAAATAAAAGATATAACTTCAAAATTTTGAGCATTAAATATTAATTATAAAACTTATAGTTACTTTTAAATTGTCTCAAGCTAAGTATCATTTCCTCTTTTTTTTGTTAATCAAATAAAATTTTTATTTTTTTTCAATTTCCTCTCTTACTTTGTACCACACATGCCCTTACACCTTATTTGATGTAAGTGAATTGCATGAAAGGAGAAAGGATGGAGAAAGACCAAGGGAAAAGCATAGGGAATAAAGAAGAGGTATTACATTTGGTATAAGAGAAAAAAGAAGAATAGGGGAGATTAAATGGACAAGTCTTATTCTTTCTTTCTCTTTTTTACCATCCTCTAAGGGAGTGAATTTGAAGAGAAAAAAATATGTAAATACTATCGTGTCTGTGTGGTGTTGCTAACATGTAATTGTAAATATGGATATTTGTAAATTAATTTATAATATCATTTTATTTTATTTTTATTTAATTTAATATAAATTAATAATTTTTTTCCTTCAATATTCTTAAACTTTTTTTTGTTAGACAATGTTGACACAATTGATTAAGTCTCTTTATACAAGATTCAAAATCGATTTCTTTCATATTTTGTATTCTTTGATATGGACTTACATTAAAGAAAAAATAAACAATACATAATTTTATTGAAAATTCTTAAAGATCATGATGATTATTTCTAACCTTATATTTGTATCTTATCCTAATATAAATTTTTGATAAAAAAATAACACTACTCTTATACTTTCCTTCGATCAAAGAACTTCAATTTTCACTTTTATTTCTCACCTACTCTCTTCTTTTCTTTTCTCACCTATTGTCTTGTCTTCACTTTTACCTCCGCTGTTAAACATGGTGGTAGTAAAAATATGAAATAGCCCACGTTATTCTTGATTTTTTGTTTTTGTGTTTTTTTTTCCCTTTGAAGAGTTTGTTGTTGCAAAAAAGACAGAGAAAGAGACAGAGAAGGAAGATAAAAGGTGTCCCCACAGTGTTTGATGGTTAAAAAAACGCAGCATTCCATTCCCCCGAAGCAACACAGTCACTCACTCCACAAAGCACCTCTCCTTCACCCCTCTTTTACCTCTTCCTCTTCTGTCAAACTAAAACTAACCATTAACCAACCTCCTCACTCAGCTTCAAACAAAAACCCCAGTAAGTAAGATAAAAACCCCTTACCCAAATAAACAAACAAACATCATCGCACTCCACAGAGATGAACAATCCCTCCTCTCTCCTCTCGTTAACCATTATAGATTAGCCAGGAAGCAACGTGCTGCTTCAAAGCTCAAACACTATACAAGAAGAGAAAAAAAAAGTTTTTTTTTTTTTGGGTTGTGTTTGTATAGTGAGAGAGAGAGAGAGATGGTGGGCTCAGGAGCAGGAACAGATAGAAGCAAAGAAGCTGTTGGGATGATGGCCCTTCATGAGGCCCTCAGAAGAGTCTGTCTCAACTCAGACTGGACTTACTCTGTCTTCTGGACCATTCGTCCTCGCCCGTATTTCTCTCTCTCTCTCTCTCTCTCTCTCTTATTTTCTTTCTCTCTTTCTCTCTCTAACCCCTCTTCTCGCAGGAGACTCCGAGGTGGTAATGGCTGCAAGGTCGGGGACGACAACGGCACCTTGTAAGTCAAAATCCACTTTTGTGTTGCATGTTCTTTAAAAGTCGCAATTTTTAAGGTTTTTTGTTTTTTGGTTACTTTACACGTGAAGGATGTTGATGTGGGAAGATGGGTTTTGCCGAGGAGGTTGTCTGGAAGATGTTGATGGAGAGGATCCTGTCAGGAAGGCCTTCAGCAAGATGTCCATTCAGTTGTATAATTATGGAGAAGGGTGGGTACTGGGTAGGTCTTTTTATGTTATGTTATGTTATGTTGTGCTTTTAATCTTTTATTCTCTCTCTTAATCTTGTTCAATGTTCGATACTGCCATGTTGTGGAGGGTAGGAAGTTAGTTACTTATGCACAAGCACTGTTTGTTTATCCTCTGATTGGGTGGAATTGGATTTTGGACACAGGTTGATGGGGAAAGTTGCATCTGATAAGTGCCACAAGTGGGTCTTTAAAGAGCCCACAGAATGTGAGCCCAATATCTCCAACTACTGGCAGAGCTCCTTTGATGCTGTATGTCCAATCAACTTGTCTTTCTTTTTCTTTATTTTTAATATAAAGATTATCATTTGGACTATATGTTGCATTTCAAGTTTTCAACCAGTGCTGTTTTGTATTTTCTGGCTGTTATGTGTCGATTTTTGTTTCATGATTCATTGACTCAACCTCCTTTTGTGATGCCTGCCATTCATTGCAGCTTCCACCTGAATGGACAGACCAGTTTGAGTCAGGCATTCAGGTCTGAACTGAATCATTGTTGGTTTGCCTTTTGCTATTATTGCTCTTCGGAAGATTTCATTTTTGGATTTTTCAACCATTTTGTTTTGCTTTTGTTCTATGACCAGACCATAGCTGTAATTCAAGCTGGCCATGGCCTTCTCCAACTTGGTTCTTGCAAGATTGTGAGTAATTTTAATAATTATTTTTACTAGTTTTAAGATTGCTTATTTAATGTGGTAATTTTAATATTTGCCTTCACTAGTTTCATACCATTTATATTTGCGTGGCTCTAGCTATTCATGTGTCACAGAAAAAATATCAAATGTTTCATATTTTTGGTTCTATTAATTCTCAGATTCCTGAAGACCTCCATTTTGTGCTAAGAATGAGACACACTTTTGAATCCCTTGGCTACCAATCTGGCTTCTACCTCTCCCAACTCTTCTCTTCAACGAGGAACACTTCCTCCTCCACTTCTCTTCCTTCAAAACCATCCACCATTCCAATTAGGCCACCTCCTCCACTCTTCAACTGGGGTCACCAGAGGCCACTCACTTCTGCCACCTCCATGCTATCCTCTCCAAATTTCCAACAACATGCAGCTAGGCTTGGTTTCCCAAAAGATGAGGCACACATGTTTCTCATGCCACATGTATCATGCGAAGGTGCAAGAATTGAGGATGTGATGGGGGAGCATGAAAACGACATCAAATGGCCCAATGGCTTGTCTTTCTTCAATGCCCTCACTGGAAGATCAGATGATGCTAAACTTTTGTTCAATCCTGAGAGCTTAGGTAACAAACCATGTGATCAGAGTCAACATCAACATCACCACCCTCTTGGTCAAAATCCCAGTTCTGATGTGCAAAATGCCAACACAAATGAGTTCTTGAGCTTGGAAAGCCACCAAGATGATGCAAGGAAAATGGACAAGTTCAAGAGGAGCTTCACTCTACCTGCAAGAGTGGCTTCATCATCTTCTTCCACTTCAATGGATCACCATCAACAAGGTGTGGAGTATAGGAATAATTCAGAAGGAGGTATGTACCCGGATGTCATGGAGACCTTTTTGGAGTGAATTATGGGAAGGGAAAAAAAAAACCAAAGATGAGAATTTGTAACTAGGAAAAGTTGCTATTTTGTGTTGTTCCTTTTTCATGTGTTGGCTTTTCACTTTGTATCTTGTGTTTCTTCTGTCTTCCACTTAATGAGACTTGATTAATGATCATTTGTTTGTTTCTTCTAGTTCAATTAGACATAAAGTTCCCTTACGATCGGTGTTTTAAATTTTAGATACTAGGTCATCATTGTACGATTGAATAAAAATTATGAAAAGTCACACTAATCATTTCAGGCATTTAATTTGCTTTAGTAATTTGTATAGAGCCGTGCTCATTAATATTAAGAGTTTCAATTTTTTATTCAACAATATTACAAGATGATCCAGCTAAGCTAATATGACTTTAGATAGTGTTATGTAAGAATGATTGTTTGTGTGTTTGCATTATAGTTTGCAAATCATAGTTAGGCCCAAAAGGTAAAGTATCTAATATTTTTCTTGTTTTACTTTTATTTAATCATGATCTGGGAGCCAAAAGTGTGTTCAAACATAACTATAGTTGTTAAGGAATTTTTTTTATTGTGTCCATGAACATTTGGTATGAAAGTATTACACATCCTTAATTAAATATTTTAAATTACTTAAAAAAACATTGGCTGGAATTTGTGTTTTCTTTAGGGTATTGGTTGTGAAATAAAAAAGTTTTTTTTAAAATTAAAAATCATGATAGGAATGTATCGGAAAATGAGTATATAATAGTATATATTTATTTTTTATAAAAAAATCACTTTTAATTCCTTATTCATTGTCTTAATGCATTGATTAGCATTTGCCTTAATATAACAAAACACATGGTTCCCTACTTAAATCATAACAAGAATCTAAAATTATGTTGTAGCATAACTATGATTGTCAAGGATTTTGTTTCTTTTTTTTTTTGGTGTTCCTATGAGCATTTGGTATGTAAGTCTTAAACACTTTATTTAAACTCTTTAAAATTATTTAAAAAAAATAAAACATTGAATAAGTTTTTATGTTTAATATAATAAATACTTGCATTTACTTTACATTAAAAATATTCTATATTTAACCTTTTAATTCTTTTATCATGTGTCTATTAGTCTATACATAAGTAAAAGACAACTCTTTGCCAAATATATTTTTTATAGATGAAATCCCGTATACACTCTCCAAACCATGGTTGGAAGTGTGTATAAACTACTCTCTAAGCATGCATATTTATGTCATGTATATCTAAGAATATTTTTGCAGATACATGCTGGGTGCGGCCAACATAGGGTTCCAAATTATTGAAAGAGTAACATGTAATTAATCAGATTTTAATAAATTAATAACTAAACAAACAGCTAGATCACTCCATTAATTGGGTGACATTTACTGCTTAATCCGTTGCTTTAAACTAAATGATAAGTGATAACTCTTGTTTTGTTTTTAGTCAATTATGTAATTGATTACTTGTGTCGTCATCGTTCTAATAAGATCTCTTGGGCTATATGTTGATTGTAACCTAAGAAGGGCTACACATCAAAATTTAAAGTGTCTAATTATAGCTTTTATAAACCTTAATTTGTATACAGCATTACACGGGCTGAGCCTGCTGGCATTTAGAAAACACATACGTATTAGAATGAGACATCACCATACATCCATAAATCACGTATATATATACTACTGAATACTTTGCATGTTATTTATAAGCTACTACTTTTTTTTAGTAGTATATATGATTTGATTAGTTAGTAAATCTTAGTGAATGCATATATGTTGGAAAGGTATATCATATGAAGAACGTAGGCATTTTGGTTTCAAATTTCTTAAGAAACAAGCAAAGGTAGAAAGTGGATTCGAGACTCCGAATGCATTCTGAAATTTTCCAAATTAATCCATAACTTCAGGCACTGTGATGTTTTAGGAACAAGTTTTGATGCTTTCCACATGTAAGTGTAGGTTAGGATGTAGCACCTGATATTTTTGGTTCTTTGTCTTAAAATCAAAAATAGCTTCGGCTAAAAGCACAGTCTGCCTCTATTTCCACTCACTATGTTTGGTTCAATTTGTACTCATTCAGAGAGCCTCATCATGATCAGTAGCTACTAGCTAGCAGGGGTTTGTGGACATATACATATACCACTGTAGCTTCTGCTCTTATTTGTTTATTCATTTTTTTTTTTAAATTTCAACATCAATTCTCCTAAATCCATTTTTCATATTTTTTTTTTATCAAAAATTGTTATTACAGGTAATTCCATACTAATGTTATTTAATTAAAGACTGTGGTTCGATTTCTAACTTAAACACAAAATCACAATTGGAATATCACCTTAACCCTTAAGAGGAGTTATACTTTTTAATTTTGTAAAAGAAACCCTTGTTTTTTTTCTTCAAAAGCTAGAGTCCTATATTCTGCGGAGCTTATACAATTTTAACAGTTATTAAGGTAATGAAGATCCTTCTAGAGTCGTAGAGTTTGAGGTATACATAGCCATGCTTATATTAAGAGGAGCTTGTGATAGTGATCATTGATCAAAGTGAACAGATAGGCATCAGTGTGCAGTGTGCACCCATAACTCCAGGTATCTTCTAGTGCATCATATATCTATAAAAATAATAAAACGACACGTGATCAAAGAAAAAGACATACTGGCGAGATGAAGTAGTTTCCTAACTTAATACGGAATATTAATTTATTGTCATCGCTCACTCCGTCTTTCATATTTTTCTCCAATCTTTAGATTCTTCAAAATGTTCATTTACAGGTGGAAAGATATCGAACGTAAGTTAAGAATGCAAAATACTCATATAAGATTTAAACAATTATTCTCTTGAGTTAGTTTTTAAAATGAGTTAGGCCAAATTCATTTCTTATGTGATATAAGATCTATAATATATTTCACATTAATTAAAAATATGATATATAGAGAAATAGTTGTTCTTTTTCACTGCTTTTAAATACTCATATAAGATCTAAACAATTATTCTCTCGAGTTAGTTTCTAAAATGAGTCAGCTGAAATTCATTTCTTATGTGATATAAGATCTATAACATATTTCACATTAATTAAGAATATGATATATACAAAAATAGTTGTCCTTTTTCATTGCTTTTTGACTTCTTTGTATTTAGTTGGATGTACCGAGGGATATTCTACACACATATTTACATTATTAACATATTCAAAATTATCCTAAACAAACAATGAGTTTAAGTTAAAGTAATTGATATATATATGAAGTGTTCTAACAATTTTGTTAACTATCTAATTGACATTGTAATTATACCTTAATGTCATGTGTTTAAAATACAAGATTCATTTAAGAAGTTAATTTCTCTTAATAAATATTTTTTTATGTATAGGTCAAAAGATCAAACGCTTAATCAAATACTTAAAAAATAAAGTAATTAATATGTCATCATATTATACTTTGTTGGTATTATTTATTTAATTGGTGCTTATTTTAAATTTAAAATTAGCACCCTAAATGATATTGGATGTTAATTAATTTTGGAATTGTTCACAAATCTATTTTATTGGGAGGGGGTTGGTAAGAGAAAGAATGTTAAGAAGTTTGGTAAACACAAATTTGTGCCACTGATGTGATTTCCTGCATAAATTATTGTCCTGCGCCGTATATACACATTTATGAAAACTTGACCAATTTGTCTTGTTTTGGAGGCAGATGTATAATTTTGATCACCAAGTAGTGAGCTTAGAAAGTAAAAGCTATTAAATAATCATGCCTTGGCTGCAAAACATGTTTTATTAGAAGAATAATCTTAGTCTTTTTGCAACACCTAATAATTCCATGATTTATGTGTTCTTAACAAATTAAATATATTTCCTTATTCAATCAATACTCTAATAAAAACACATGCATGTAAGCATTTGTCTTAGTTTTTTCTTAAAGCTTTTAGTTAATGATTGTTGGTTCAATTAATATTTGTTTATACCAAGTACAATGAATCACACACTAATCTTTTGTCAACTAGCACATCTTGTAATTATTGTAAAGGACAAATTAAAGTCCCAAATATATCAACCACAATTTAGACAAAGCAAAAAACAAAAGTAAAAGTAAGAAGAGATAGGAGCAATATGCAATGCAGTACCAGTACTACAGTCTTCTCTCAGAAGACCAAAGGAATGGTAAGAGAGTAGTGTAACTTTCTTTATATAAGTAAACAATGCCAAAGGGACAAATAGCAGTTTGGAACATCCTTAGTCTCTATTTTGGGTTGTTTTGGCAGAACCCATGGGCCCAACTCAGATAATTGTGTTTTTAGGACCACTCATACGCCACATTGATACTTCTGATTTTATTATCCAAACCAAGCAAATTAATCGTCCTTAGAAAGTAAGTAGAATGTGAGGAATTATTACATGGTTTATGATCATCTTCATTAATTTCTATATAACATATAGAAGAATATTATTATTTTTAATAAATTAAATATGTAACTATTATTATATGGAAATTGATCGGATCATATGAACATATGATAGTTAAAAACTACATAATAACTTTTTATAATACTTGTGGCATAAAAATATTTTGTACATTGATTTAAATTAATATAATAAAATATTATATGATTTTTAATTTTTTAAAAATTGGTAGACATGATCAAAGCATTAAGTTTTTTTTTTTTTGTAATATTTACTTGTTAACAATAAATTACTATTTTACTAAAATTTATTTATTATTATAGGAAACATATGAAAATGCTACAATGGAAAAATATGGAGTAGATGTATCAAGCATCCTATAGTTGACTCTAACATCTGGCTAAAGTTAGCTGGTGATAATAACAAGGGTAGAATTCATGGAATTAGTCACAATTTAGATCTTTGCATCAGTACCACATTATCTCCATATGTAATGGGTCACAACTTGTGATAGAAGACCTTACAGTAATAGCTACACAAATGAAGTAGTTATAGACACAATTGCAAGAATAAAAGGAGGCATGAGCATAAATGTATGCATAGATGTAGCAAGCACAAGTAAAGATGTAGGCATAAATGCAAGCTCAAATAGAGATGCAGATGAAGACACATGTAGGCACAACTATAGGCACAAATGCAGGCTCAAATGCAAGCATAGATACAGTTCTTTCATAAAGATATTGCCTACATTACAAACCAAAAAGAAATGAGATATGTTGTTATTACACTTTAATTTGATTAAATTATGATAACAAACTATGTTTCTTATTTTGTTTTTGAATTAATACTTAACATATAATATGCATTTTATGCAATTTATATTTGGAGATTAGTACTTTAATATATGTTGGCCTTTCTTAATTAATTGTAAGTATATATATATATATGTCTGTGTGTGTGTGTATATATATCTGTGTGTGTGTGTGTAAATTCAAATATGTACAATTATTTCATATTAATAAAAAATTAAATATATCAACAATGAAAAATTATATATGTTGGCCTTTCTTAATTAATTGTAAGTATATATATATATATATATGTCTGTGTCTGTGTCTATGTGTATATATATCTGTGTGTGTATATATATATATATCTGTGTGTGTGTATATATTGTGTGTGTGTGTGTAAATTTAAACATGTACAATTATTTCATATTAATAAAAAATTAAATATACAAAAATAATTTATATAATTAGAGATGGATCAACAATGAAAAATTAAATATACTAGTAAGGGAGTAGCTACGAATTTGCTATGACAAATATTGTAGCAAATTAACTATAATTTTAGTGAATGAATTTTTAAAATACGGGAGGAATTAGTGATAGTAAAATTTTGACATAATATTTGCGACACATTAGCGACAAAAACATTGCGACAAATTAACTACAACTTTAGTGAAGGCATTTTTACAATACGTAGCAAGGAATTGACAATGAATTTGAGATAATAACATTGAGACGAATTAGCGACTATTTGGTGATAGGGTATTTGTAACTCATTAGTGACAAATTCACGATAGAAACCTTGCGGCAAATTAGCTACAACTTAGCAAAAGCATATTTACGATGAATTTTGCAACCAAAAAGTTGTCAGGAATTGACAAGAAAATGTATGAATTCATAAACATTTAGAAAATCAATTTTGCGAGGGAAAGTGACAACATTTGCGAAGGAGTATCAAAGGAAATATTTTCGTCGCTAATTAGCTATATATATGATATTAGTGATAGAACTTTCTATCACAAATTTGTTGCCAAACAACTTAGCAAGAGATTCACACGGGATCATTTCCTCACTAATACACGAATTTCTTATAGTGTAATCGTTAATAAGACCTTATAATAAGTAATTAAATGATGACTTGATATTTGCTTATAGCTGATAAGTCTAAGCCAATGACTTAACTAGTTGAAAAATCTAGGCATGAGAGTTTAGTCGATTGATAAAGTTGATTACAATTGATAGAATACTAGTTGAATGAATTCGAGATGAGATGTATGTATATATATATGATGCATTGAGTCTTAGATTGTATGACATGCATCATGTAAGTGTGGTATGAAATACATTGTCAGAGAAATCCCTTAGTGGTCTTATATATGACCCAAACCATAGGGAAGATACATCAGAGTGTGTTAGGATAGCGATGTTGCAACAAGTTACATCCCATGCACCTCAAGTTGAGATCCCCAATTTTGTCTGTAAGGTGCATGAGGTGTAAATTGTTGTAGTTTCGCTATCTTAATACACTTTGGTGTATTTTCCTCTCTAGTGAGAGTGTTGGGTGTTAGACCTTTTTGGATGAGTGCCTATTCATCAACATATACTCCTATTCTATGATCATTTGGGAGACAATTATGTTCTTGAATGGCATCATGTGCATGTAAAACTAGATTAAGTCATTGCATATTACATTTGATAATTACCTAGTGAATAACTTATATTCTACATCAAATTTTAACGATTCAATTGTTAAATTAAAAGTTTTTAATGCATAAATCAAATCTACAAAATTTTAAAAATTTGAAGATCATAGGATACTTCATTATATAGATTCAAATCAACACATAAAATGTTTTTATGATTATTCATCAATTTGAATAAATGAAACGAAGTATCAAATAGTTTTCAAATTTTTAAAAAAATTATAAATTTTATCTATACATTAAGAATTTTTAATATAACGATTGAATGGTTGAATCGTTAAAATTTAATATAAAACTTAAATTATTGAGTAAAATAAATTTGACAAAACTTACTCTTAGAGTAAATAAATTTCTCTTCATATGTATTGTAACCCCAACTTTATCTCACACTAAAAACAAATAAAATGTATTTCATTCATTTTTCTTGTTTCTCTTAGTTAAAATTTAAAATATATTCATCACACCTTCAAATAAAATATATAAAAATTTAATATTATCAATAATTAACAATATATATTCAAAATATAAATATAGCTTACTCGTACATTGAAAACCATATTTTTTCTTCATATTTTAAAACTTCTAATAATGAAAACATGTTTAATAAGACTTTGCCAAAAGATATAAAATATCTACAAAAGAAATATAGTGTTGAATATTATGTCAAAGTGATTAAATATTAGATTATTATCGTAAATATTGTTTCAATGTGAAGACAGAAAAATAATTTGTAATAATAAACTTGATTATAGATAAAAATAAATTACATATTTAAAATTAACAAATTAAATATAAAAAAAATTTACATTCAACATATATTTTAATTATATAAAATTTAAATAATTTATTTATTTACCTGCGGATTGCAGGTATCCATATCTAGTTCTTTGAATTTATGGAAAAAATGTAAGTAGGTATGAATTTTTTTGAGAGAAAAAAAAATGTGATTTAAGCTTTAAAATTATTTAAATTTAGGGTAAATTTGTATTTGTTTCTTCAACTTTGAAATTCATCTTTTTAATATTTGTAATTTGTAAAACTCTTGTTTTGGTTCTCATGTTCAAAATTAGTTAATAAATTTATCAAATATTGTCATACTAAATTTACCTACTAATTTCATTGAAAATAAAAATATTATATTAAATTTAATTGATGTTACATAATTCCATTAAACTATCACTGTTAAATATATTATTGATAATCTGAGAAATTAAAACAAAATTTTTGAATTTACAAAAATTAAAAGATCAATTTAAAATTTAAAGAATTAAATTTATTCTAAACTTAGCTACCGAAAGGATGTTTAATTGTGATTTGTTAAACATATATCACATATAAGTTCCTTACCTTTAAATAAGTACTGCCTTTGATTTTAAAGAATTAATATGTAAACATGTGTAAATTTATGGACTAAATTAGAAGTGAAATCTTTTCATTACGTCACATTATTATGGTCAGATTCAAGTGGCCTAGCACCCAAAACAATCTAAAAGACAGCTTAACAATTCTCAAATAAAAAGTATTTAAGACACACTGAGGTTATTTGCATCTAGTTTTAACTTAGAGTCAAAATTGACTATAAACAAGTTTTGATTTAATTTATGTTCAACTTGATCTATATTCTAAAAACCTAGCACACTAAGTACATATAATTATATATTACCAAATGAATATTCACGTACCTAGTTAGAGGGAAAAAGAGAATTAAAAAAAGTCATAGATGATGTTATAATAGTCTCTAGATATTAAAAAAAACTTTTTGAAATCACAAATTTTTTAAAAAAATATTTTTTAATTTAAAGTACCACCATCAAATTTATCCCCAAATTTAAGTGCCTAAAAATATAGCCAACCATAAAATTTTACTCTATTGCACGTGGAGACTCAAAAGTCAAAGCACTTGCTATAAAAGTAAGAGAGAAGAAACCAAATGATGGGGGAAGGTTAAATAGAGATAGAAAATGGAAAATTTTTGTGAAGAGTAAAGTTAAATAACAGTTTTAGTAGTTATCAAACAAATTAAACAAGGTGGACTTGTCCTTTTCAGACCTGTCTGTCAACGCCACTATTTTCCATCCTCATCATCACCACACTCACTTCATCATCTTTCTCTTCTTTCCTTCCTCTCTTTTCTTCAACTCAAGGAATTCAGCTATGGCCACTAGAGAAATCCTTCAAAAGATGAAGGTATGCTTCACTCCCTTTTCTTATTTTGTAGAAAATGATTCATGGTTGGACTTGGATCACATTTTTCTTGCTTTCTATTCATTAATAGATAAATGCTGTAGATCTTCATTTCATGGCACCAACTTTCATCAATCCATGCAGTGGATTGCTTGTATTGCTGAATTTAATATGCTCCACTCGTTTTCTTGTATGTCTTTTGTGTTGTCATTGTGCCTATTTTTGTACTGTGCCTGCTTGCTCTTCTTCCATCATTGACTTTGACTAGTAAGAGAGTGTATCCATTTGCTTTTCTGCATTCTAAAGCTTGAATCCTTCAACTAGCTCCGATCTGTAGGGAAACCATATCACTA